TGGATCATATATAGTGTAAAGCACATATAGTGTAAAACAGATGCTTTACACTTGCATAATGCAAAACATGTTTATTCAAGAATAACTCTCTGAAGTTTCCCTCAGCAATGCTTTGAAATAGGCAAAGCAAATATAATTTTTATTTTATGGATGAGGACTGAGATTCTGAGAGGTCAAGAAAACTGCCCAAAGTTATAAAGGTAATGAAGGTGGAGTTGTATTGAAGGAAAAGTCTTCTGATTTCCATATTCTTTCTATAGTGACTTGCTATCATACACATTTATGATACTTGGATCTCTTTTTGACCTAACCCTTAGGCCCAAGTATATAATGCTTAATTACGGTGATAAATTGAGATGTTAGTTACTGACTTGGACTGGTACTCAAACCCCTCTCCCCAGCCAAGGGACTGGCAGTCCACATTGACATTTATTTTTGCCCTTGAGATTTTATACAACTCCAAAAGACTTTCTTGACTCACTATCTGGAGAGTTTTATCTATGATGGTGGTTATCTGTCAGTAACTGGGCTATATGACATCACATGGGAAACTGGATTTAAAGAAGCCACATTGCTAAGGAGATCATCAGATAAGTAGTCATTGTAAGGGTGGGACTTTTTATTCGGGGACATTCTATTTTGAGCCATATTGAAAGCATATGTAGTTTGCCATTTTTGAGGCACTTTAAAGTTGGGTCTATACTGCATTATAATATGCAATGGAAAGAAAAATTCTGTGAATCCCCTGGGTAATAAGTACTACGTGGTTTCCAGGTAGTTTAGTAAACTTTCCAAGCCTCAACTCCATATTGGACTTACAGGGATAAAGTGGGTTACGCTCATGACTATGCACCAAAGCTTAATGCCACCAGTCTCATTTGTATGGGAAGGAAAATTAAGAGACTTTTCATAATTGTTTAGCCAAAGCTTCCTGGAAAATAAGATTTGTGCTCAATGTTATAGATGTGCTTGCTGATGATGGTTTTCTTTTTGCTTTTAAACAAGTTGATATGGAAAAAGGTAAAAGCTCTACTCCACCATGAACTAAGCCTATACAATATCAGATTTGTAGGAAATAATGACATTATTGCATGCTTACTATGTGATAGAAACTGTGCTGTGTGAAAATCATTGGACACAATATCTCATTTAGTTGACAGAACAAACATGTGGTATGTGTACTATTATCTCTTTTCTACACATAAGAAAACTGAAGTTATGCCATTTTAATGTTAAGATTAGGAAAACAATGTAGGAAATATTCCTTTCTTGTAGAGATTGCTGATCCTAAGATGCTAGAGGCATTTGGGTAATAGCCTCATCTGTTTGATTGACAGGGTAATGTACAACTCAAATGCTACCTTAATTCTAGCTCTAAACTGTAATCATCTTAAACTTTTACTACCAAATTCTCTAAGACTTACATTCATTTAACCCAATTTATTCTTTCAGAGACATCAATATAAAAAAATTAAATAAAAATATTTGAAAGGAATCTTGAACCAAAATGTAAATGATATACTGAATTTTGACTCAGGTAGACCTGGATGTGAAACCTCTAGGCTGAAGCTCTGTGGGCTTTGGTTGCTATATCTATAAGATTGTCCCACAAATTCTAAGAATAGATGAATTAAATATGTGCAATATATGTAAAATATGTGAAAATGCCACATAATTCAAATGGTTGTTGATGTTATTATTATGAATAAACTGACAAAGAAGTAAAGTTACATAAGGAGGAAGTAGGATGCGTTGTATAAACTAAATTAGGCAGCTCTTGTCTGACCAGGAAATTCTCTCCTCATGCTGCTAAGCATACATTCTTGCTGATCTGAGCTGCTTTGGTAGGAGGGGAATGGTGCTCTTGCAGTACACAGAAACATCATTCTGGTTCTCTCTCTTTAACTCTCTGATCTCTTCATAGACCCTGGATGCCTTACATTTTCAGCAAAGTGAGATCTGAGTTTAATGGAAAGCCAGAAGAACTCCCAAATCATGCCCTTTAGCCTAGCTGTGTTGCATTAAGTAGCCAAAGCTGATGTGATCTCGCAAATAAAAGACATATGTGCTACTGACCCAGCATCTAGCTAAGCCTGGCCAAACAGTCCCATTTTCCAATAGTTTCATCAAAACCAAATTATTAGTGCAGAACCATCAAACATGCCAAGCCCAGGTGTCTGTACTTTAAGCAATATATCCAAATAGGCCCATGGAGAAATTTGAGGGTGGGTTAGAGGAAGTATTGGAACCTTTGGTTAACAAAACACTAAGCTACAAAGCACCAGTGTGTTCCTGAAAGCAAATGCCACCAAATGAAATTCAGTCAATATATATTCCATACGACAAATCTACTACCAACATTTTCCTTCTGTAAAGTGTTTAGACTGCAGACTTCTACTAGCCTTTTCCAGCCTGGTGTTTCTCAGTAATGGAGCCAACTCTATCAGTGCTTTAAGTATCAATGTCTGGTAACTCTGTAAGGATTAGCACCCATTTAGTGGACAGGAAAATTCATTCCAAGATGCTAAAGAGGTGCTTTGTTTTTAATTTTTTTAATTTAAGATTTAGCAGATTCTATGATCACAGGGTTATGTTCCTTTCAGTAGAGCTCAGTCATGAGTAAATTAAAACTGCAAATCATGGAGACAGAAAAGAAAGATCCACTAAACTCTCTCAAAGCCACAATTATTCAACCTTAGTGCATTGCATTTCCTATACATTCTAAGGCTGCCAGACGGAAAAAGAATGGAGTCTGAGTCTCCCAAACTGTAGCAATTGTGAGTCATAATCATATTACTAATAATAATTCTCACATACATGGGCATTATTAAATGAGTGGCTCTGCTTACAGGAGGATGAGGCCATCCTGACCATGGAGAAGAAATGGCCTTTTAAAGTTGTTTATGGATGTGTAAAATAAAGAGTATATGATGTTGCATCCCTGCCTAAATGTCTTCATAAAGTGCAAATTAATGCAGATCCTAACTAGGCATTTGGAACGCTAACCTAGTTTTCTGTGTTTAGCTAATAGCTAGCAATTTTGCTTACACTTTTATCCTCTCATTACATAGCAATAATGATTATTTAGTAAATACATGTGAAAGGCCATGTATTCCATAGCACTCCTCCTGGGTTGGAAATAACTCCCCTCCTAATGCTTCCATTTGAATAATTTAGTTGCTGATACACCAAATCAAATATAGCTGTGACAGGTATCCCACTAATGCTTTTTTTGGAGGCTAAGATCAGACCCTTTCTCAGCCTGTTCCCCTCGGTGATTGCCTGGCCAAACTCAGGGTAAGGGCTGGGGACAAAGAGGATGCTGGAGGAAATCCAGAGCCTTAATCAATGTTAACCCTTTATAAATCTTAAAGGTACTCAGATGGCTTGTCTGATTTGAAAATTATTAATGATACTGGGGAGAAGTAAGGAAAGGCTATTTTATAACTAGTCAAATATTCCGGAACAAGAGAGAGAGTTTGAAATAGACATGTAGAAGAGAAAGATGTAAAATATGGCCTTGTGAGATGCCACCCAGTTCATATCTGGACATATGACTGATACAAACCTTTACAAGTCACTTGAGAATTTTTACTCCTAGATGCAGAATGGAATAATAGAAGTCCCACTAGAGGAGTTGGGGTGACCCCAGGGCACATTTTCTTGTCTGCCAGGTACACAACACATCTCACTGATGTATCACAGAGACAAATTTCTTAATAGGATAACCAAGTCCCACATAGAATGGTTTCGGATAACAGAGTCCCATTCCTTCCCTATGAGGAGAAAATTGGAAGCGAGACTGGGATTTGGAACAGAGTCCGGGGTGAGGGCAGAACTAGGGTTGTTTTCTCCTATCAAGAATCAGGTCTGGCTTAAGGGGAGGGGATTGACAGGGTTGAAGGAAGAGGCAGGAAACATGTCTCTCCACCCCAATGCTGCTTAAATGTGGCTGCTCAAAGGGGCAATATCCTGCTCTCCTCTTCTGATGACTTCATGGGAAGTTGGCCGAGTCCCCAGTTCTGCAGAAGGAATGCAGGCAGAAGGCAGCACTACAAATGGGCTTTTCCTTGGGTGCTCAAGTGGCAGGTGTGAAGGGAAATGGGGTGGGTGCCTTCAATGGGAGGAGCCACGGAACTGGGGAATACTGCTGGTCCAGGGGCTTTCCCCTTTCCCTCTCAGCTTCCTCCCATCCCCAATTCCCTGCACCAACAAAGACACTGCTCAAAAACCAGAACCCGTCCTAACACACTCTGACACAGGTGTCCACAAGCCCTACCTCCTTCACCTCAACACCCTGAAATCCCGTTTGCTCTTAAAAGCACAGACAGGCCCAAGTAGACTGAGAGGTCTGAGCCAGCACATCCTTGCTACTGGGAATTAAGAAATACCATGATGTAAAGTGGTATTTGTGACACTGTAGTGCTTTAAAAAGAAAATTGAGGGGTAGAGGAGGGTGTGCCAGCAGGTTTCAAAGCATCGCAATCAGTCCTGATGTGTTTGGGGAAGGCATGGAGGACATATCTGATCCCTGCTGGTACTCTCCAGTCCTGCATCCTCCCGCAGTCTCTTGAAAGTGTTTAGATACCCAGGCAGGGCCCCGCGTCCATTTTGCCAGCCAGGAACCACCGAGTTTGGGAACTTTGAAAGCCAGGGGATGGGGGTGGTGGTTGCCAAGGCTCGGATTTCGGCGCCAGAGTTCTCAGCCAGGAAAGCAGTTGAAAATCAACACCCATCTGGCTCTTCTTTCTCATCCCCCACCACTTTTTCCTTCACCCTTCCAGGACTGCACACAGATCCTAACCCCCCCCCCCCCAAACACACACATTCAGACACCCTTGGGCTGAGAAGGATTTTGATTCTGAAGGCGGCAAACCCGCAGAACTGAAAGGGTCTCGCCACCCCCCTCTCCGCCCCGCGGCTACATACAATAAAACCCCATACACCCCAAACATCACAACATAACCCAAATCAGCCAGTGACTTCGGCGCGTCCCGTACCTGATATGCAGACGATGAAATTGGCTTGAAGAAGAAAAAGCACCTCCCAGACTATTTCCATCCTCTGATTCTCATTCCAAGTGCATCACTCGACGGGAAAACAGGGGGGGCAGGGGGGAGCCCGACACGGCACACACACATACACACGCGCACACACTTCCGAGCGAGTGCACACTCGCACTCCCACCCGACAGCCGGCCAGGGACAGTCACCCCCAAGATCAATATCGCAGTTTGAATTGTTCCGGCAAATCTCCCCTCGGGCTCGACGGATGTGCGCCCCAGATGTGCTGACACATGTCCGATGCCTCGCTGCCTCGGAGGTCTCCCCGCTCGCGTGTCTCTTCTCTTCGCACCAGCAGCGGAAACCGCACTAGCAGCGGCGGCGGCGGCGGCGGCGGCAGCCACCTGAAGCCACCAACACTGGGCTCTTCCAGCAAAAACGAGACCCCGATTCGCCTGGCGCCCCAAGAAGACATAGACGATAGCCCCCCGCCGGGCCGCGCCGTGCAATTCCGGGCTCCCGGGAGCGCGTAGCTCGCTGGCTAAGCCCAGGCAGTCCGCGGCAAGTTGCCCTCGAAGTCCGCCCCCCTCACCGGGGCATGGTCGGAGGGTGGCTGCTGCTCTCCGGGGCCGTTCTTCTCCTGCTTCCGGGGGGCGGGGAAGGAGCAGACACAGCAGACACACAGAGAAAGAGAGGCAGGGATTATTGCCCGAAACCGCCAGCCGCCGGCAGCCTCCGCCGACCCTCCCTGCTCCCCAAGTACGCGCGCAGCCTGCCGCCTCTCAGCCGGGTTCCGGCCGTGCGTCCAGGGCGCCAAGGGGAAGGGCTGGGCCCCGGGGACTGAGGCGCGGTGGGGGCCCACGGACTCTCCAGGTCGCGCGCGCGCTTCCTGCTTCTTTGCTATTTTCCTGGACTCCCCAGAACCCCCAGTTGCCTGGCTTCCATCGCCCGCAACTAGCGCCGCTGCCGAGATTTTCCGCAATGCAACTGCAGGGGTCGTTATTTCCTCGCCTACGGATCCCGATGCTTCCCGACTCAGAGAGGAGGAGGGCAGGTGGGGGCGGGAGGAGGAGGAGGAGAAGGAGGTTCGGCCAGGTGAGCGTCCCCGCCGCCGCCGGGAGTCCCAGCGTCAGCTCCGCAGCCCGGCATCCGGGGGCGGAGGCAGGAGGCCCGGGCGGGGAGGTGCGGCTGAGCTCGGCCATGAGGAGGAGGAGGAGGCTGGGTGTTACAGCTTCAGGCCACCTTGGCCGCCGCCTCGGCCCCAGTCCCTGGCAGCCGCCTCCGCACTCCGCACCGCCCTGGCTGCCTCTGTTACCCTCCAGGATTTTCGAGTTTCTCTTCCTAAAAAGAACTTCGTGCTGCGGGTTCGGCGCGGGAGACCCAGGCAGGACTCATCCTGGGAGTGCTGTGCTGTGCTCTCCCTCCGCTGCGAAATATTGGAGATTTTTTTTTTTTTTTTGCATAATTCATTGCCTACCCTCTCCATTTCGTCCCTCTCATGCCCCCCACCCCTTCCCCCTTTCCGCTCCAGTGCCAGAACACTACTTACCCCAGAGTTCTTTTCTCTGCAGGTTCCTAGACCAGGTGCAACTCTTGCCTGCAAGTCCCTGCCTCCCTCCTCGCGAAAGGGGGGAACACCGCCTTTCCAAGTCCGGGTGTCAGCAGCAGCTGCTGCCAACTGCGCCTTCGCCCAACTCCAGGAGGATTCGGGACTATTGGAAACCCGAGCTTTAGAGGAACGGGGTTCCCTTCTTGTCTTTCTTTTATTCTGCTTTTCTTTAGGGAAGCTCTAGTGCTTTGGAGGCTTTTGCTGGGCTCCAGGATACTTTCCGCCAACGACACTCAGCAGCTTCCACTGAAGGAGATTTCCCCACCAAACCCGCGCGCGCGCACACACACACACCCAGAGCGCGGCGCTCCAGGGCCCCAGGGGAAGGTAGGGGCGGCGCGAGCACCAACCGCCCACCCAGGCCGAGGCCAGGGGCAGCCGGTCCGCAGAAGGTATCGTGGGGAGGCGGGCTGTCTATAGCCTAGGAAAGACTTGCACCTGGTTGCAGTGTGGATGCGGGAGAATTGAAGAAAACCCTGTGCTCAGGACTGTTTGCCTAAGAGGGCTGGGAACGAAAGGGGAAAGACAAAATCTCAACAGATTTGTTTGCTTCCATCGCTGCAGTGGCGGTTTGCGAAAGCTCAAACCTACCTCTTTGGGGTTACTGACGAAGAGGAGGGAGCGTAGAGGGAATCCCTGGGAAGATTCAGGATTTCTCGGCGCGCTTGTCCCGATTGGGAACTGTGACGTTAGGAGATTTTGCACAAACGCGGATGAACACACACATAACAAACATAAACACACACATACCCCGCGGGGATTTTTTATCCACTTTTAATTTTTGATGTTTAGAAGCTATTTCAGTATAAACCTCGGTCGAAGAACTGCACAGAGGGTAGATAAGTGGAGATGGAGGAGGGGAAGGAAAGGGTGCCGTTCATCCGCACAGAGTCAATCTAGTGAATCTTCCCGTGTTGATCCCAGCCCCCAGGCTGTGCGGCATCCGAGGGTGCGGAGTGGGAGCTAAAGGAGTTACATTACAGTGCTCCTGGGATTCTTGAAGGGACTCCAACTGCCCAGGAGTCTGGTGGGTCTTTTTGCTGAGTGGCGGGGAGAAGACGGAGGAACAAGAGAGAGCACACAGCAGATCAGCAGCTTTCTGAGCTGTCTGGGCTGGGCGGCTGCAGGAGCCAGAGCTACGCAGTCCCACCGACTCTAGGGATTCGAAAAAGGAACTGCCGGCAGACCTGCCTACTCTTAAAGGAGATATGGCCGTGAGATCTGTTCTGTGAAACAAAGGCCAAGGACTCTAGGTGGTCAACACATTAAAAATCTAGGCCCAGATGAAATAAATCCAGCATTCGTATGTAGAGAGCTTCCAGGCTCAGTAGGGAAAAGAATGAAACTTCAGAACATTAAAAGAATTCCGGACAGTGAGAATTAGCCCATTTGGGAAACATATGGGGGCGTTTGTCTCCGTGCCTTGAAAGTAGACTGCATGAAGAATGAAGAACTATTATTAATTATTATTATTATTATTTTTCTTTCTTTCTTTCTTTCTTTCTTTTTTTTTTTTTTTTTTTTTGAGAGCGGGAGAAAAAAAGTAGTCTGACAAAGGTGAGCAGATTCCATCCTGGAGAGAGTTCAGAACCGTGGACAGCGACCTACCGTCTGTGCTTGGGTGGGGAAACAACGCTGGCAGAAGAGCTCTCTCTGGAAGCAGAAGCAGGGTGCCTGAATTTTTACATCACCACCCACTCATTTACTAATGAATTCTGCAACTATTAAGTGTCTTACATGTGTCAAACACTGTGGCAAGATGCTTGGGCTTTGTAATTGAAAATACATTATCCTCGCTTTCAAAAAATCTGCAGACCATATATCCCTCTATATTCTGCTTTAAGAGCCAATGCTAGTAAAACAATACTTTATTTCCACCCTTTCAGTCTGCATACTCACCTCCAGCATTCCCAAAGAAAATTTCATTTTGAAGCCACTAAGTGCTTTCAGTTTTTAAAAAGACAACTCATATGAGAATATTTGTTAGTTAAAAAACAAATTTGAATGTATTGATTGTTATGTATGAAGTATTATGTGTATTGATTGTTATGTGTGAAGATTATGTGTGAAGCATTATTAATCCCTTACATAAATTATCTCATTTAATCATTATAATGTGACCGTGACATAAATGTCATTATTACTTCCATTTTACTGACAATAAAACAATACCTGGATAGTTCTTTGCCCAAGGTTCCATAACTACTAATCAGTAGTGTAGAGACCATAGCTGGAAAGTCTAAACTCAGAAATCATGTCACACATATTTATATGCTCTGTAAAATGAAAAATATCATCTTGGGGAGGTCATTTTGCACTTAAAGAGAGCAGAAGTACACACATGACAGCTAGAAGGTAATCAAAGGTGGTATGAAAATTTAATAGTAGACAATGCAATTTAGAACCCGACTACATTAGTTGGGAGAAGGAAAAGATCACTGGGAATCAGAAGTAATCAAAAGCATTTCTAATGACAAAATTTTGGCCCCTGCTAGATGTCAGTTCTGGTTTTGGCACTTGGAATACAGCAATGAACACAATAGTCCCCAACATATTGATTCCATACTAGCAATTGCTAGAAGAAAGAGCCATACATTCTTGAGTCATTTCTAGGCTAGCACATTTCTAGAGTAGGTTGCTATATGTTTTTTTTCTGAGAAATTCACCATCTTAATACAGAAAATAACTCAGTAAAAAAATGCATTAAGTAGAAGCCTTTAAATTTAAGTAAATTCTGCCTCCCCTTTTTGTTGTTTTTTTTAGTCCACAAAACAAACCAAAGAAATGTGGAAAAAAATGTCCATGAAGCTAGAAAATATTCTTAGCCCTTTTCGTATTTTAATGTGCTTATATGTTTATCTAAATAACTACAAAGAATCTCTCCACATTATATCTGCCTTTATCTTTTGTTCCTTGCTTACTCCTCTACATTTCTGCACTACAAATTAAGTGCAAGTATCTTACACATTTAAGAGAGTCTTGGCCAAGCCCACCCAAGTGTGAGAGATACCAATTGTCCTGTAGAAAGCAAGGAATTATATTTCCATTTTCCAAGAGAGGATAATATTAAATTCCTTTGGGTTCTTCCTGTACCAACACCATAGAAGAAGGGATGACTCATCTGATGGTAAACTTTGTAAGTGTTTGACTTTCATTAGGGTGCATTTATCAGAGGCCAAGCACACTGTACTAGAAGACAAAGGAAAACTATCACTTTTCCCACTTCTCTGTTCTCTTGGTAAAGCTGCCCTCAGGCACACTGAGCTCACAATTTTAGTGTGTGTACCTATGCATATTTATTTTCTGTGCCACTTTTAAAGAGCAGAGCCAGTAAGATCTCTGCTTTCTTTCAGTACTTAGCTTTCTGGGGCCAGTCACAATCATGTATGCAGCTAGGAAAGCATATTTAGAGCCTTCTTTGTAGACCCAACCATCCTTACAAGTGATTTTCTAGTTTTGAATTTGGGGTGAATAGTTGGAAAATGCCATTTTGAAACACATCAAGCTCTATTTAAGGACAGTTCCATACCCATTTAGAAAATGTTTCTATTTTTAATTGCTTAGATGCTAGAGGGAAAGAGAAGTTAGCAATGAAGCTACCCCTAACTTCTACCAAAAAGATAAAATTACCAAAATAAATGGAAAGATATACCATGTTCACGAATGAGAAAGTTCAATATTGTTAAAATACCAATTTTCCCCAAACTGGTCTATAGAGTCAACATAATCCCAATAAAAATCCCAGCAAACTTTAAAATAGAAATTGTCAAGCTGTTTCTAAAATCCATATAAAAATACTAAGGAACTAAAATAGCCAAAACACTTTGGAAAAAGAAAAACAAAGCTGGAATATTTAAATTATGTGACTTCAAGGCTTGTAAAGCTATAGTAATCAAGACAATGTAGTACTGGCATCAATATAAACAAATCAATACAACAGAGAGAGTCTAAAAATAGACTGACATATATTGATTAAGTTGATTTTCAACAAAGGTGCACACTCATTTCCTTGGAGGAAGAATAGTCTTTTTAACAAATTGCATTTTCAATATTTGGGTGTCTATTTTTGAGAAAAAAATAAAGATGAACTACAGTCCATACCTTACACCATATAAAAGAAAGATTAACTCAAAATAAACCTAAATGTAAAACCTAAGCCTTTAAAACTGCTAAAAAAAAAAAAAAAAAAAAAGAAAGAAAATCTTAGTAAGTTTGGGTTAGATGAAGATTTTCTATATATGACACCAACATCATGACTAATTAAACTTTGTTGGAATTAAGAACTAATCTTCTTCAAAAGACAATTTTAAATAATTTTTAAAAGTCACAGTCTGAGAAAAAATATTGGAAAATTATATATGGCACAAATGACTTGTAAGCAAAATAGGTAAATAATTCTGAAAACTCAATTTATTAAAACAAAAATTTTAAAATGGGCAAATGATTTGAATACTTTACTATAAAGATATAGTAATGGAAATTAAGAATATAGAAAAATGCTCAACATTATTAGTCATTAGGAAAATAAAAATTAAAACTCCAATGAGATAGCAGTATACATTTATTAGTTTGGCTAAAACTAAAAACAAAACGAAACAAAATAAAAAACAATACCAAGTGTTGGTGAGAACATGGAGCAACTGGAACTCTCGTACATTGCTGGTGAAAAGGTAAAATTATGCAACGACTTTAGAGAAATGTTTGGGAGTTTCTCTTTTTTTTTTTTGACAGAGTCTCACTCTGTCACCCAGGCTGGAGTGCAGTAGCGCATCTTGGCTCACTGCGAGCTCCACCTCCTGGGTTCATGCCATTCTCTTGCCTCAGCCTCCCAAGTAGCTGGGACGACAGGCGCCTGCTACTGTGCCCGGCTAATTTTTTTTTTGTATTTTCAGTAGAGACGGGGTTTCACTATGTTAGCCAGGATGGTCTCGATCTCCTGACCTCGTGAGCCTCCTGCCTTGGCCTCCCAAAGTGCTGGGATTACAGGCATGAGCCACCGCACCTGGCCTGGCAGTTTCTTAAAAATTAAATATTAATATATATAAAGCATATGACCTCACCATTTTGCTCATAGATATTTATCCTAGAGAAAGAAAAGCTAATGTTTATACAATACTTTTACTCAAATGTTCGTAGTTCTTCATTTGTAATAGATATAACTAAAAACAACCCATATGCCCATCAACAAATCAATAGACAATTGAATTGTGAAATAATTATGCAGCAATACAAAAGTAATGAACTATTGTAACATGGAACAATATGGGTTAATCTCACAATTACTACACTGAGAAACAATTTAGATAAAATAGAGTGCATATAGTATGATTCCATTTATACGAGATTTTAGAAAATGTAGGCTAATCTTTACTGACAGAAAGCAGAATAGTGGTTGCCTGGGGAGGCAGGCCAGAAAATGGGGAGGAATGGGAGGGAGAGACTGCAAACAGCATAAGAAACTTTTTGGGTTAATGGCTATATTAATTATCTTAATTATGTTGATGGCTTATGGGTGTACACATATGTCAGAAATTATCAAAATATACATTTTAAACACATGCAGTTTGTTTTAGGTCAGTTATACCTGATAATAATCCAGCTAAATGAATGAAT